ATCAATATCCTAGACATTCGTGAGCTGAAATGGACTTGTATTGGCCATTTTGAATCAGACAATAATATGGTCTACTATGCTGGGAATGACAAATTGAAGAGGAATTGTATTGCATTCATTGTCAAAAAAGGAACATTTCAAGATCTAGCCTAGTGATGCAGTGGTTAATAGCTTGGCTGCTAACCAATAGGTCACAGTTCAAATCCACCATCTGCTCCCTGGAAACCCTATGGGACAGTTCTACTCTGTCCTATAGGGTTGCTATGAGTCAGACTCGACTCCACGGCAATGGGATTTTTTTTTAATCCTGAAGTACAACACTGTCAGTGATAGGATAATATCCATACGCCTGGAAGGAAGACCAGTTAATATGACTATTTACAACTATTATTCAAATTTACACACCAATTAATGCCAAATATGAAGAAATTGAAGATTTTTTTACCAACTTTTGCAGTCTGAAATTGATCAAACATGCACTCAGTATGCATTGATAATTATTGGTAATTGGAATGCGAAAATTGGAAACAAAGAAGAAGAATCAGTAGTTGGAAAATATGGCCTTGGTGATAGAAACCACACTGGAGATCACATTATAGAATTTTGTGAGACCAATGACATCTATTGCAAATATCCTTTTCTAACAACTGCCGACTATATACATGGACTTCGCCAGATAGAATACACAGGAATCAAATCAACTACATCTAGGGAAAGATACCATGGAGAAGTTCAATATCATCAGTCAGAACAAGGCCAGGAGCTGACTGTGGAACAGACCATCAATTGGATACATGCAAGTTCAAGTTGAAGCTGAAGAAAATTAAAATAAGTGCATGAGAGTCAAAATAGGACCTTAAGTATATCCCACCTGAATTTGGAGACCATCTCAAGAATAAAATGTGATGCATTGAACACAAATGACTTAAGACCAGAAGAGTTATGGGATGACATCAAGGACATCATACAGGAAGAAAGCAAAAGGTCATCATTAAAAAGATGGGAAAGAGAGAAAAGACCAAAATGTATGTCAGAAAAGACTCTGAAACTTGCTGTTGAATGTAGAGTAGCTAAAGCCAATGGAAGAAATGATGAAGTAAAAGAGCTGAGCAGAAGATTTCAAAGGGCAACTCGAAAAGACAAAGTAAAATATAATAATGAAATGTGCAAAGACCTGTAGTTAGAAAACCAAAAGGGAAGAACATTTCTCAAGCTGAAGGAACTGAAGAAAAAATTCAAGCCTCGAGTTGTAATTTTGAAGGATTCTATGAGCAAAATATTGAACAATGCAGGAAGCATCAAAAGAAGATGGAAGGAATACACAGTCAGTGTACCAAAAAAAACTGGTTGACATTCAACCATTTCAGGAGGTAGCAGATGATCAAGAACCTATGGTATTGAAGGAAAAAGTCCAAACTGCACTGAAGACATTGGAGAAAAAGAAGGCTCCAGGAATTGATGGAATACCAGTTGAGATGTTTCAACAAGCGGATGCAAATTAGAAGCAATCACTTGTCCATGCCAAGAAATTTGGAAGACAGCTACCTGTCCAACTTGATGTGTGTATATGTATATATATAGCCAAACCAAATCTATTACCGTCAAGTCGATTCCGACTCATAACGACCCTATAGGGACAGAGTAGAACTGCCCCATAGAGTTTCCAAGGAGCGCCTGGTGGATTAGAACTGCTGACCTTTCGGTTAGCAGCAGTAGCACTTAACCACTATGCCACCAGGGTTTCCATGTATATATATATATATAAAGAGAGAGAGAGAGAGAGAGCCCTGGTGGCACAGTGGGTAAGAGATCTGCTGCTAATTAAAAGATCTGCAGTTCGAATCCACCAGTCGCTCCTTGGAAACCCTATGGGGTGGTTCTACTCTATCCTGTAGGGTCACTATGAGTTGGAATTGACTCGACGGCAATGAGTTAGGGTTGTTATATATATATATATGCGGTGCAATGGATAGCTTTTGTGTGGCCTTTCTAGCTATGGTCTTGTAACTCCCATTCAAGTGATTGGGTGGGACTATGCAAATAAGGCAATTGAGGCCCACCAAAGGGATTGGTCATTTTTGCCTTAAAAGAGCCAATTCCAGAGCAGAGAGAGGATCTCACTAAGGAAGAACAGCTAGGAGCAGAGACCGTGTCCATTGGACCTGGGATCCTGAGCTGAGGAGCTCCTGGACCCAGAAGACAGAGAGAGTTGTGAGGTGGCAGAGAAATGGAGGCATGAGAGACTGGCAGGATATGGCAGGTGGGCTTCCCAGCCCATGGATCGAGAAAGCTGATGCCTCTGGGCAGGAGGCTTGCTGAAGGAGTAGGGTGCTTCCGGGCACTTGGTGGAGCTAGATTTGCCTACCCACAGAGCTAGAGCTGAGCGCCTTTGGGCTGAGGCTTACTGGTGGAGTGGGGTGCCTCTGGGCACTTACTGGTAGAGCTAAAAGAGCTTTGTAACACTTGCCCCTGAGCAGGGCATAGGTTGAGGTGCCAGAGAGAGTTGTGCCCCTGGCACGGTTGGGAAGAGGCTGTCCTGATGGAAGAACTGTATCCTGAGTGTTCTTCAACCTGAATTGTAACCTGTTACTTCCCTAATAAACTCCATAGTCATGAGTATTGGTTCTGTGTGGCTATTGCAATGAATTATCTAACCGAGCAGAGAACCCTGGGATGTTGATCTTAATTCTCTTTCCCCCTTGTGAAGTTAGAGGAGGTCAGACATCACACCCACGCCATTTTTACAATGGCTATTTGGATTTTCATTTTTATCTTTTATTAGCTTTGTTAATTTTAGTCTCTCAAGTACTTTGTCTCTTTCATCTAAGTTAAATTCATTAACAAAGTTTTTAAAAATAATATTCCCTTATTATCCTTTTGATATGTCTAGAGCTAGTGGTGATACTCCCTCTTATTATTTCTGATTTCATTAATTTTTTCAAAGAAGAAACTTTTGACTTTGTTAATTTTTTCCATTTACTGATGCCTGTTCCTTTATTTTCCTTCTTATATTTTGTGTGTAATTTGCTTGTTTTTTCGTAGCTTCTCATGGCGGATACTTCCAAAACCAAACCAAATCCATTGCTGTAGAGTGGATCTCGACTTAAAGCGACCCTATAGGTCAGAGTAGAACTGCCCCACAGGGTTTCAAATGTTTTTTACTTTTTGGTCACTCTGTGGCTCTTCAGGTAGCTTTTTCTCATATTTTGTGCAGAGTTATATTTGTTATCTGCAGAATATTAGCTCAGTTTCCCAGTGGAGGATACAAGGGATTCTGTAGAGTGATTTTTATCAAGGTGTTGGAGGTGGAAAATATAACTTTTCCAACCCAAATGCTTTCTGTAGTTCTCCAATATCAAAGAACAGTATAAATTCCTCTGTGGTATAGACAACCCAACATACCTGAATGTCTAACCCTGGAAATGACCAGCACTTTCTTGCACCAACAGAAGGGGCATGTTAGCCAAGGCATGGAAAACAGAGCGTGTTTAAGATGTGCTCAGTGTTCAGCACATATTGAGCCCAACAATAGCTGTGTATTTAGCTAATTGTGGATAATCAATAATTTAATGACATTGCAATTATTTAAAATTGGGCTAAAGAAGAATACAGCATAATGTGGAAAGATGTGCATGACATACAACAAACGGGAAAATGTTACAAAAAGGATGTACCGTATCATCCCATTTTCCTAAATTATTTGTTTCCGTATAGAAATCCCAACAGGTATGTGAAAGAAAATATCTATTAAGCTACATGCAAAAAATGTTAATAATGTTGGCAGCAGTTCTGAGTTGTGGGATTATGGGTGATTTTTATTCTTCCTTTTTTTGACTACTAATTTTTTGACAATAAACATTCTCACTTCCCCATCCCTGCTTTATATTTCTCTATAGCCTTTGTCACGATTTGATATACTGTTTATTTTACTCATCCTTTGTGGTCTCTAACCACTTGAAAGTAAGATTTTAGAGAGCAGGGTATTTTGTCTAGTTTGTCTTCTGCTGTATCCCTCTAAATAGCTTTTCCGATTCACTTCAACTTCCAATACAGTCACTAATTCTACAGTTTTCTTAGCCCTCCATAATAGACAACATTTCCAGTCTGGTAAGGGGCAGAACGTGGTTCAATCCCAGTCGTTTGTTTCCAAAGGTTATTGTCTTATCCACTGCCCCTGAACAATACTAATGATAATTCCCGTCTGCACGTGAGAAATTTACTAATTTACTGAAGTCACACACGTGGCCAGTCTGGCTTTCCAGGTGCTGTTTTTTGTGTGGGTGTTTTTATTTTTGGTTTGTTTCCTTTTTTAAAAAAATTGTGGTAAAAATATACACAACACCATCTCTACAATTTCTACATGAACAATTCAGAGGACCGCCCTCCAAGTAACGCTGCGCTAACACAGATACCAACGTCACAAAACCGCTCACAGGAACGCATCCCCACGTCAGTCACATGTGGTCCTCTTCAAGGCATTCTCCATTGCCCTTGAGTCGATTCAGACTCCTAGTAACCCTACAGAACAGAGTAGAACTGCCCCGTAGGGTTTCCAAGACGGTAATCTTTATGGAAGCCGAATGCCACATCTTTCTCCTGTGGAGTGGGCTCAGAACCACCGTCCTTCCACTTAGCAGCCCAGCGATTTGACCACTGCGCCAAAAGAGCCCCTCTTCGAGTCCAAGGCACCAGGACTGGTAACTAGGGACGCTTCTCGTCTCCAGGGCGGGGTGGGGAGATCACACATTCTAGGAGACTGCACACGCCGCTGCCTAGTCCCGACACTTGCGTGAAGCCCTGGGCCACGCCCTTCTCGCATTATTACGTAACGCGCAGGCACGCACCCTCTGTCCCTATGGTCCCTCCGCCCACTCCTAACACACCAGCCGGAGGACAGGCCCCTCTCCGCTAAACGACGCCCCAACCCCCTTCGCGCCTCTCCTAGCCTCAGACACTTCCCCCTCTCTCCGCTGGTTTAGGAGAAGTAGGCGCCTGCGCATTCCGAGCCCGGGCGTCAGCTGCTGAGGGCCGTCGGTCTCTAAACGCTAGTTTCTCGACGGAGGCCTGCCGTTTGCTCCGGAGTCCCGGGAATGGGAGTGCGAGGTCCAGGCTGGACAGGCGAGACTCGTTTCCTTCGGTCCGCAAAGCGGATGTGAGTAAAGAGGCAAGGGTTTGGACCTGGGTCGGGACCGTCGGACGGCCGGAGCGAAGTGTATGAGGGAGATCAGTGAGTGTGAGCGAGATGGGTGTGCCTGTGTGTGAGAGTTTGTGAGGCGCCGTGAGAGACCTAGGTTTATGTCTGTGCGAGAGAGAGGAGCCCTGTTGGCACAGTGGCTAAGCGCTCAGCTGCTAACCGAAAGGTTGGCAGTTCGAACCCACCAGCCGCTCTGCCGGAGGAAGGTGTGGCAGTCGGCTTCCGCAAAGATTACAGCCTTGGGATCCTTATGGGGCAGTCCTGCTTTGTCCTACAGGGTAGCTATGAGTCGGAATCAACTGGATGGCTGTGGATTTGGTTTTGTTTTGGAGTGTGTGAGAGAGAGAGACAGACTGGATTGTGAGGGTTCAGGGAGTATGACAGATCAGGATATGGTTGTGTCTTTGGGTGAGACCAGGTGCGCGTGTGTGAGATTGAAGTGTTTGTGTGTCTGTGTGTGAGGTTGTGTGAGAGACAAGAATGTGTGTATCCGTGTGTGAGTGTGAGAGAGACTGGTATGAAAGATCCGGATGTGTTTTGTGCATGTGAGAGAGACCAGTGAGTGTTTTGAGACCGGAGACAGAGAGTGAGCAGTTGGAATGTGAGAGAGATGTGTGTTTGTGTATCTGTATGTGTGAGAGAGACTGAAGTATGAGAAAAATTGGTGTTTCTCTGTGTGAGAGATTGGAGTGTGAGAGAAATGAACGTGTCTCCATCTGAGAGAGACTGGAGTGTGAGAGACTGTCATGTGTGTGTCTGCGAGAAAGAGAATGAGGGAGAGAGACCAGTGGTGTGGTTGTGTGTGAGAGAGTGACTATGTGAACCACGGTGTGTCACCCTGAGTGCTTGCAAATATAGTCTCTGTAAGGCTGTGGAGTGTGCAGGTGTGAGACAAAGATAAGGGACAGTGATCCCTGGATGTATGTAAGAGAATAAGATTGGGGGTATGTGTGAAGAGGTGTGTGTATCACCATGTGTGCTTGTACCCATTGCCCCTGTGAGACCATGGTGTATGTGACTCTTTCTGATGTGCCTTTCTTGGATGCTTACGATTGTATGCTATGTGTGAGCAGGAAGTATGTGAGATCTTGTGTTAATGTTTGTATGTCACCCTGTATGATCATTGGTGTGGCCTGTGTGATGTGGTGTTTGAGGAGAGACTGCTTGGCAGACTGACAGCATTGGATTTTTGTGTGTGTGTGGGTTTTGGGGATTGTGTGTTGCTAGGATAAGAATCCTGGAGTAGAACTTCCTGCCAGCAGTCCAAAAGTTCCAATAAGAGCTGAGGTGCCTGGAGATGAAGAAATTAGGGCTCAGGAAATGCCTCCAGTTCTGGGTGACAGAGAGGAGGGGAAACCAAGGGGCTGAGGACAGAGATGAGAGTGAAGGGAGCATAATTTGCTGCTAAAGGATCCATTGCCCCAGGGTAAGAGGCAACTGAAGTCTGGAGAAAACTCCTTTGTGTTTTGGTGGAAAAGGAGGATATCCCTGGCCTCCAGTGCCATTTAGGAGTCATATTTTCAAGCTTCCCGCTGTCACAGCATGAAGCAGAGACCCAAAGAGGGAAAAAGAGTCTATTACCTGTAAAACTGAGGAAATAACAACTATTTGGTACAATTATTTTGAAAATAAGAGAATGTACATAATCTACACTGGGTAAGTACATCTCTATTATTATTTTTATTCATTGTGATAAATAGGAAGGTAACTTTTGGAAAAAAGGTTAAATTTAGGACCTTGGGCATAAGGGAAACAAAGTACAAATTATACCCCCTCAACAGCCAAAGGTTGACCATAATCTCCCAGGTAGCTGGGCAGTGAGACCAATGGAACTGGGAGGAAGAAGGGGAAGACAGAGTTTGGAGGCTGGTGATTCTGCAACTGCAGAGAAGGCCTGATTTCTAACTATCCTTTCTCATCTTCCAGTTTTGCCATCCAAGAGCAACACCAGGAGGAGAAAGTAAAAATGACTGTTGAACTAGTGAAAGCCATGCCACAGGTTAGTTACTATTTTCTTTCTTCTCTTTGAAAGGAAGTCTCGCTGTTTAGGATTTAGTAGTGGTTCTTTTCTTTTGAAAATTCCCTGATTGACAATCTTGTCCAGAGGCCTGGTTCCCGTTTCTCCTAGAGGCCACCAGCCTTAAACAACTCAAACTGCCTAATGTGTGAGTAATGGCTGAATATGATGAGGCCATAGGGAAGGTCACAAGCAGTTGTGTTCTCCTCAAAGCCCCATCTTCCCTCCTCATCTACTCTTCTAATTCAGTGTTGACACTTACAAAGGTCCACATTAAGGATTAGATGGAATAGAGGTATCTCAGCATCAGTGAGCTGGGTTCTGAAGTCAGCATCCAAGTTCAATGTACATCTGATGCCCCTCTCCTGTTCTTAGAACACATCAGGAGTTACCCCCCTAGCTGAATTTTTGCCAAAATCTCTTAATTATATCCTTAAAATAAATTCTTAGGAGTTTTTCTTTACGTTTAAAGTATGAATTTCCAATCCCATTTATTCACGTAAAAAGACATATCCAGCTTAATTTTTAGAAATTTTATAAATTCAAATAGGTAACATATGCATGTGGTATAAAATTCAAAAGATTAAAAACAAACAAACAAATGAAAAACTCACTCTTGCCTCCTGTAGTGAGTTTGAGGGCATTCAGGGCTGATCAAGGAAAAAGATACGGACCACAAGATAAGCAGCGTTGCACAACAAGCTATTTATTGGGTATGACACATTGACAGCCACATGTAGGAGGTAGTACCTAATATCAGGAGGTCATCTAGAGACAAGTGGTTCAAGGAACCACCAGAAGGGGAAGAGGGCGTGCAAAACTTGAGACAAGTTGTCCCTAGACAGTGTCCTCCTGTATCAAGGGAGTCAGAAAACTCTGAATGCAGCAGTACCTTAGAATCCTGCCTTAGTTGCTATCAAAAACCTAAATGTGCAGAGAAACACCAAAAATTAATGTCACAGAATATATTTATTGTGAGTAGATACAATTCGAATCAGGCAGTGTCAACCTGAAGTTATCTGGAAGGTCTCCAAAGAGGGGATAGTGAAAGCAGTTTATATAGGCAGGGTCCAGGCAGGATAGTCTCTTGAGGGTCATTGTAATTCTCCAAAGGAGCCTGATGCCTAAGGCAAAATGATCTCTGCTAAGCTACTTACTAGGCTATTGTATGACTTGAAGGTGACTTTAGGAAGATAATTCCTTAAAGGCTCAAGGTTCAAAAGGGCATCTAAGGGCAAATGGCCTGGGTGGGTCACCACAACTCGATGGACCCAGAAATCTGAATTCTAGGAGATTTAAACAGTTTGTCATTACCTAGTGCTGTTATAATAGAAATACCACATGCAAGTCGCTTTAACAGAAATGTATTTTCTCACTGTTTAGGAGGCTAGAAGTCTGAATTCAGGGTGCCAGGTTTAGGAGAAGGCTCTCTCTCTGTCAGCTCTGGGGGAAGGCCCTTGTTTCTTTTCAGCTTCTATTCCTAAATTCCTTGGCAATCATGTGACATGATCTTCCCCTCCATTTGTATTTGCTTGCTTGCTTAATCTCCTCTTTTATATCTCAAACAGGACTTCTAAGCAGTTCAAAACAGTTCAGTAATTGCCGTTGTAAACAAGGGCCGCATACGTGTTGCATAGCAACCGAATCTGTTTCCTGTCACATTTTGACCTGAGTAGGAATAATCCTGCCAATAATCCGATCTCCCACATCAGGCTCCGGAAAGTTGCAGGAGGAAAGACTATGGCAGGACTTTCGGAGAGCAACATTATTGGCAGGACTGTGGAGAGCGACACACGTGCAAAGCAGCATGGTCCATCTTTTAGCGGGGCACAGCTGTTTGTTTCCTACTTAGGTCAAAATGCCACAGACATTCCCAAATGGAATTTTAACCACGAAACAGGAAGGATTTACAACATACAGTTTTGAGGGGCATAATTCAATCCACAACACCTTCTAACTATAGCGTTTTATCTTATCTAGGGCTAGCAGATGCTGAGTGCAGTTTCCCAGGCTATGTAAAGCAGGCAGGATCTAAGTGACTAAAAATCTGCTTGTTTGGGGTATTTTTGAAACAGTTGAATGTGTACAAATTTGAATTTGGTGCCACTGGACTTTTTTGGGCTTAAGGACCTCAACTGGCTGTAAAGAAGCAACCAGAAATACGTTTTCCTGTGTTTTATTGACTATGCAAAAGCATCCAACTGTATAGTAGTAAAAATTTGGAAACAACTAAACTATAACATATTGGATATGTTAAAAATAATGTAGTCCACCCATACAATGAAATACTACGTTGTTGTTGTTGTTACGTGCTGTCGAGTTGGTTTCAACTCATAGAGACCCTATGTACAACAGAACGAAACACTGCCCAGTCCTGTGCCATCCTCACAATTGTTATGTTGGAGCCCATTGTTGCGGCCACTGTGTCAGTCCATCTCACTGAGGTTGTGATGTTAATGAGACAGGATTAGAGACAGTTATGTTAATGAGGCAGGACTCAATCTACAAGATTAGGTTGTGTCTTGACTCAATCTCTTGATATAAAAGAGAGAAGCGAGCAGACAGGAGGGCCTCATACCACCAAGAAAACAGCGGCAGGAGAAGAGCACATCTTTGGACCCGAGGTTCCTGCACTGAAAAGCTCCTAAACCAGGGGAAGATTGATGACAAGGACCTTACCCCAGAACTGACAGAGAGAAAAAGCCTTCCCCTAGAGCTGGCACCCTGAATTTGGACTTCTAGCCCCTTAAACTGTGAGAGAATACATTTCTCTTTGTTAAACCCATCCACTTGTGGTATTTCTGTTATAGCAGCACTAGATAACCAAGACAAACATTCTTATATGTGTACATTAATATTACAGTGTGCTTAAGTTTTTCTCCTACAAGAAGTATTTCTCACATGAAGTAGGAACAACATAACCCTTCAACTTAGATTCATGTGTGGACATGAGCACTGGTTGATCAAGAGTGTATTTGTGTCATTTCAGGACTTGGTGACATTCAAGGATGTAGCAATAGACTTTTCCCAGGAGGAATGGGAATGGCTGAACCCTACTCAGAGGAGTTTATACAAGAGTATGATGTTGGAGAACTATCAGAGCCTAGTATCACTGGGTGAGGATCTTCTCCTTCCTGCATAATTCAGAATCTATCCTTTGGGACCCTTTAAAATTGTATTTATTATTAAAACTTTTTTATTATAAGAATGGAATCTAAAAACAAAGAGGATATTAAGTATTGATGAAAATTTCATCTTCAGTGAATCTCATTGGTCCCCTGTTCTGCCTTGTTCCCTCTGTGCTACAATATTATTGTTACCACTAGGAGGTATCAAGGTTCACCAAACCAAGAATGTAGCTGGATTACAATAAATTCGAAAGAGCATTGCTTTTAAAATCTGTATCTTTTAATTAACTTGCAATAAGTGAATCAGTGAAACATTAACTATAAAATGACTTCAAACAGTTCTCAGAGAAGCTAACACAGGC